TACAGTTGGTCCCTGTTGTTCTAGCTGTCAATTTTATTGCCTGAAAAAGGAACTATATTTTTCTCTTTAGCAGTGTATTACCATTTTCCGTCACAGCTTTTTGTTAAAATCTGGCAGGAAGTCTAAATAAAACAGCCTTGCTTCAAGAAAGGTGCACAAATAATGGGATTTCTTGAACTAATTTAATCTACCAGCATTGAATATTTAACTGTACCTCTGTATTGGGCAGAAGATTTTTGGCAGGGAGATAGCTGACTTGTTTCTATGACAACTGAGATCATGTCATGGATACTTGGGCAAAAAAAAAGAGTGCTCACAGCTTCCGCTGCAAGAAAGCCATTTAAAATGCGAGCACAAATTTCTTACCACATGCTTGCAGGAGTTGTTTAAAGAAAGCTAAGACAACTCATTTCTCTGTGTATCTTTCTTTAGGGTGATAAAATATTTGTTCACAAACGTTCCTTAGATCTACTGATTTCAAAAATACAACAAGCAAGTAGGTATCTGGCTTGTGTCTTCTGTCTGCTCTGGTTCATCAGTCAGGAGAAAGAGACCTCACAGAGATCTGTGGGTTTTACTCTCTTCTCATCATGACTTGTGTAGAAATGAATGAGTTAGGATAAAATGTACGTTGCTATCTTGATTTTATTCCCGCATTACTTATTCCCTTGATTCTTTAAGAAGCCTTCAATATTGAGATGATAAATTGAAGAAGGAGCACTGGGCTTGACTACGGTGCTGGACAGGCAGATTTGCACAAAAAAGAGCCCTTCAATTTAATAACTCGATGTTGGTAACAAAAGCCAGTAAAAGCTACAGCATCTGATTGTGTTTTAATAGACTTAATGCTTACCCGTAAAAAAAATGGAAAAATAAAGCCAGATTCCAAGGTAACTGGAGGGAAAGTTTGCTTTGCTGTTAGTAAGGGGGTTTAATTGTTTCCCGGCTCTGCAGCATGCACTGAGTGCTCTGCCCTCCTGCCTGGGAGGAGAGAGGCAGAGGGAATATCAACGACTGAACTAACGGGAAAAATTGGTGAGAGAGGCGTGGTAAGAGAATATGGAATTAATACAGCTGGAGACAGCTATGTCCCAGTGCAGGGGCACTAGTGGAAAATGGTGCGATTGCTGAAAGGTCATGGGGCTGCGTTTTCGTTTGTCTGGGCAGCATCTGGTTCAATGAGACCTTGCAAGATGGAAGCTTTTAGGTACCAGTGTCGTGCTGTGTTAGTTGCTACCTCAAAGTCATAGTTGGTTCAGGCATGATCAGATGTATGTAAGGATCAGCCTGTGGCTAAATAGCTTTGATTTTTAGGAAGAACCTAAACAACAACCAAAAAAAGGCAGAAAAAAGGTCCATGGAAAGGTAAAGGAGAGAGTACGGTCCAGTGGCTGGGAAAGGAGACAAGTCATGATTTCTGGGTTAACTTGCTGCAAGTCTGCGTCTCTCCATGATTTTGTTTCAAGGGCAGAAATAGGAGAAAACAGCACAGAAGAGGCATCAGAAACCTGGTGTTTCTTAGGGGAGCAGCAGAATTGGTGACAAAATACCATCTATTAGAGCCAGCTTCCCTGAAACACTGTTTGTACTGGCATTGCGGGACACTGTTTGCAGTCCGTGGCTTAACACAGCCCAAACCTGCCCCTTGCAGTCACAAGCTCTTTGCAGAAGCACTGACTCTGTAATGAGCTTAAATTTTCACCGGCGATAGCTCTCGGCGAGCATCACTCACTGTCGTCTGTGCCGATTTGCATTCTTTGCTTGCTGTCGTAAGCTGCTTTGCGGAAAGCATTGCTATCTGATGATTATCCTTTGGGGACGGGGATCTGTCTGGCTCGGTTGGAGGACTAGCGAGATAGCAGTGGAAACGTGCGGGAGGGTGTTACCAAGGCAATGCCACAGCTGGATTAAGTAGCCCAGACCAGGGCGCATCACGCTCAGGCTTAAACAAGTTATTTGGCACCCCGCTCAGCTGCTTAAACTGGTGATTTGTAGGCTGATGGTTGCAATTTGCATAAAAGGTATAAAAATAGTGTCAATCACTGAGTCCTCTCCATAGCCTATATCTGGCACAATGTCCTATATAATCTCAACATTCCATTTCGGAGAGAGATCTAAGTAGGGAGAAGAGCTGGGTTCCTGACGCTGCTCAGTTGTTTTCAAAATGAAGATGTTAAAATGTATGTTAGCCCTCACTTTGACTGGCGATTTCTTCCATCAGTTAAATTGTTTTTTTCCATCTCCCATTAGGCTTAAATTGAGTAAGCAAGATGTGACAGGAGTGAGTCCTACATTTAATGTTGAACCCTAACAACGTCCCTTTATCTTGACAAACCTCTTCGTTGCCTTCTTTGTACTCTCTGGAAATAACGTGGTAATGTTTGTTGGAGCTGTGGGGATTGCGTGTCTGTTGCACAACCTCTCCTATTCCCACTGCTGAGGATGAAGTGGGGAACAGCAGGATGCGTGCGCCGTTGGACTGATCCAGTGAGGCTTTGCTCCTGCTCTTGGAGACCAAAACACTTCGCAGCACAAGGATTGGTTTGGCGTTGCACTGAAATCAGTGGGTCAGGTAACTGGTGATGTGGTTTACATCAGCGTAGCTGCAATGTCGGTGTCAGTGCAAGAAATCATCGGCTGGGCTATGGCAGAGATCGGGGCTGCCCATTCCAGCAGCTGTTAGATTAGCTTGGTTGCAGCATCAAATTCCTCTGTCTCTTGAGCTATGCAGTTGCTTTCATCCTTCATGTTCTTGGCCAGGAGTGGAAGTGAGGAAGGCATTTGCACTTAGCCCTGCAATGTTAGTGCGTTGGGGAATAAAATGCAGGGATGCTGGCTTGGATCTGCTTCCTCGTTTCAATGCCTAGTCCTTTTATCGCATGGCTGGCAAGCTGGGACCTGCATGAGATGATGGATACTTGGACTGCATTAGAAATCTGCTTGAGGTTTTTGGTTTTAGCCTATACAGATGATGGTGGTTGCCCTGAGTACCTAAGCACTTCCTTGCCCATTTGATTTGAATCAATCACGTTAATTTTTCTTTTTTAGAAATGTGCAACAAGAGAAGAAAAGCCCCCATTTCCTAAAGGTAATCTAGAAGACCAGAAGGAGAAACTGCATTTGGTCCGGCTGGAGCCAAAGCTTTTCTCTGTTATTTAGATTGCTCACAAGGGAATTACGCAGAGAATCCTTTTCGTGGAGAAAGCATAGAGAAAGCATTGCAGTGGGAGACATAGGACTGTAGCTAAATACAGTGACTGATTTCCCAAAACCTGCTCAAGAACAGGGCCCCTGACCTGTGCTCTGCTATAGGATGCCAAACTCGTGGTCTTCAGGG